TCAAGGAGTAGAATTTCTTTCTCCAGCCTCCTGACTCCAGCCAGCTGGGGCTTGCTCTGACTAGGAGACTGTGTGCTCAGCGATGATGAACAAGTTCTAGAGTCTTTGGTGAAGCCTGGCAGGTCCCACCCTTTGCTCTCTTGGAATGCCACCATACGTTCATACCACACGGGCATAAGAGTTCTCCCCGTCGAATATAAGTACCACGAAGGGAGGGCTTTGTCTTTCCCCGGCTGTATCTCCAGTGCTTACACAAGTGCCAGCCACAGAGCAGACACTCAATACACATTTGTCAAGGGAATGAATGAATCAGTTAATAATCTCCTGAGGGAAACTTGATGTGAAAGCAGGAAGGCCCCTCTGTCACCGATGAACCTTCCCAATCATTCATCGACGGCAGAGGATTCTTTCATAGCGACTGGACTAGGATGACTAGTGTTCCTCCCAAATTCATGTCCACCTGGAACCTCAGCATCTGACCTGATTTAGAAATAGGTTTTTTTGCAGCTGCAATTAGTTAAGATGGGGTCATACTGGAGTAGACTGGGCCCTAGTCCAGGGACTGGTGTCTTTGTAAGGAGAGAAAAGAGAGATTCAGACACACAGAGAGAAGCCCATGTGACAGCAGAGGCAGAGGCTGGTGCGATGCGTCCACAAGCTAAGAAATCCAAGGATGCTGGCAACCACCAGAAGCTAGGAAGGGGCAAGGAGGGGTCTATCCCAAGAGCCTGCAGAGGGAGCCCTGCTGACATCTTGAACTTGGACTTCCAGCTTCCAGAGCTGTGAGACAATACATTTCTGTTGTTTTAAGTCACTGAGCTTATGGTAATTTATTACGGCAGCCATGGGAAAGGACTACAGGAGCCAAGCCTTCAGTCAATAACTTTGAGCAAATTTGATGTAAGGTTTAAATGTATAAGAGAAGGTGACATTATTCTATGAGAGAATACAGTCTTTTTGCATCGAAGAATAAGGAAAGGGTACTGGGGCACAAGTAAGTAGAAAGAGGGTGAGATTTGAAATCAGAAGACCTAGGCTCGATCCATCTTGGGCAAGGCCCTTAACTTTCTTTTCAAAGAAAGTTCTCTTATTTGCAAAACAGGGATAGTAACACCTACCCGCAGGAGTGTCAAGTCAATCAAACAAGGTATGGTGCAGCATTTAGAAAACAAGGTCAAGTCTAGTTCAGAATTTGGACAAGGTATGGCACACAGCAGGTCATTAACATGTATATATTTTTCTATGAAAGAAGAAAAAAGAAATCCAAAGGAGAAGGGCAGGAACCTCAAAGACAAATTTCACCAGCTCTGTAATTTTTTTTTTAGATTTTTTGGGGGTAATTGGGGGATGGGAACAGCGCTGGGGAATTGGGGGAAGAGGAACAGACAAGTTGCTGTCCTTTTGTTCTTCAGTCTAGTTGTGGAGGATGTTGCTTCACTGGCCCAAGTTGGCACCATCA